AATTGTACTTTATCAGAATAACATGATGTCAAGACATCCTTCAACCTCCCAATAAACAATGCTGTAAAACATGAAAAAATGGTGAATTTCTAACCTCTATTCATGAAAAATTGATTCTTCAAAATATATATACAGTAGAATCTCTCTGTAAAGGACATCTAAATGCAGAGGAAAAGTGTCCTTTAGGGAGAGAGGTGTTCTCCTACCGGAGAGTTGCTAAAAAATAATAATTAATAAATAAAAATACATTTAAAAAAAAAAAGCTTTTATTTAAATGCACTAAAAAGGAAAAATGCTTAAAAAATCTTCTGTCATTGAGCAATTAGATGTATCTGAGTGAAAATAAAAGCGGCGGGGAACGATCATCATATATTTCGAACCTAATGTGATTTAATATGTAGCAACTGATTAGCGATTTTTTATAAGTGTTTGCTATATTTTTACCTCTTCTCTAAATATGATCGCCGCTTTTATTTTCACTCAGATACATCTAATTGTTCAATGACAGAAGATACAATATTTATTTTTTTCCTTTTTAGTGCATTTAAATAAAACCTTTTTTTTAAAATGTATTTTTATTTATTAATTATTTAGTTTGTTTTTAAGTCATGAATTTACAAAACTTGAATCAAAAGTTCACTGAGGATTAGGCCTTAAATAGAAGGGAGGCCTGCTCATCGGGTTCTGAAAAGTGTACCAAATTTCAGAATCCTAAAAGTATATTAAAACTATATTACAAGATTTGTGGACGAACAGACAGGGAAGCAAGTTAAATAAAAGCTTTTAAAAATGGGAAATTTTGAAAATGAAAATTGTCCTTTGTTGAGAGGTGTCTTCTAGCGCGAGTGTCCTCTCATGGAGGTTCTATTGTATATATATAATGAGTTTAGATAATTTTTCAACAATGATAACAAAATAAAGTATAGGTAATGTTCATTTTCTACTGGTTGTCTTTATAATGAAGATTTAAATAACCTTTAGTTTTCCTTGAAAATCTTCTTTCTTATCTCCACTCAATCATACTAAGGTATCAAGCTTGTAAAGCTTGAGATTTTTTATGGTGTCTGCCAGGGAAGAGTAGAGCTCATCAATGGATGAGTCAATACAGTCAATAATATGCCTTCCTTGAAAATGACAACAATGGGTCACAATGGGTTGAAGAAAATCCTGTACATATTCTAACGGACTGTCGACTTGTAGAGGACTTGAGAGTTAAAAATCAAATAAATATAAATAGTTTAAATCAAATAGTTAATAATAGATATATGTATATAAATTTTAATAGATTTTGTAGAATGTTTTTCAGTAATAGATAGCCTGGGCTGTAATAACTGGTATATAGTTATATGCTGTAAATAGCTCTAAATTTCTGTTCTTATTTGTGATGTTCACTAATATTCATTATAGGGTAAATAAACCGTTAACCAATTGACAAATATGTTAATAATTTCTATTTTAATAACTAAAATCATATTAATAATTACCGTAAATAAGCTCCCAAACTTGTGTATGCATGCAAATATCCAAGACGGATATCGCGTGCTTTGTAAATGATAATAAATATTAAATAAATGGGTCACCAAATCTTTTAAATTGAGCATAAAAAAAACATTCAAGTAACTTATTTATAACTCAAATCTTAAAATTACTCATCAAAATAATATTTGTTTCAAAATGTCTTTTGATTATCATTATAAGGTAAGAAAAAGAAAGTCATTTATATTGCTATTATATTTCTATCTTTAACTTTTATTTAAAAGGTTTTTTTTGTAAAATGAAAGGATTTAAAAGCATGAATGTTTCTTTTATACATAATACAAACTTCTACTGCCCTTACTGTGATGAAAAAATATATTGGGAGGGCTTGGCTCATCAGTGGTGAACCCTCCCAGCGGCTTCGCCAATTTAATCCACCAGACCGCTTCTCAGAGCTCTAATACTGTATTGGACGACTCTGCTTATATACGCAGCACTGAAGGATGGAATCTCAGAAATGGTTTTCAAGAAGACTATGAACATAAGCTTATAGGACAGTAGAATTACATTCAAATATTTGCATCGAGGAATGCTCTTCCGCAAATAATAAAGACAAGGCCAGTTAGGCATAAATTAACACAAAGCAATAACGCGCCATCTATACATGTATTTGTATAATTGAAATGAATATAGATATAATAGTTTTATGTAGCATTTCTTTATATATTCATCTTATCATTTTTTCAATGTATATTTATACATGTAACCTTTTGTTGTATATGTTTAAAAGGACTTCTTATATATCCATAAGTTAAAATATGCATATAAAGCATGCGTTTCATTGCCCTCTCATTGTTTAGGTTGCTGATTGGTCATTATTTGTTTGTTTTGACTATGTTAGGTTATCTTTAGATTGGTAAGCCAACACTACTGTGCGTCACATTTATGCAAAAATGAAAATCATGCATAAAACATGTACATGTAGAAACCAATCTATGCAGTTTCTAACTTCTATTAAACAGTGAGGTGGCTACTAAATGCAATAAGGAAACCACAATTATTAAAAAAATAAGTTTGTCAAAGGATAGAAATGCTAAGTTATACTGACCGTTTGAATGTTTGTAGACATACAATCTGGTATCCCTTGAATTTGTCATCAAACCGTTTGAATGCATATAGTTTTCAGATTTATAAGAATGCTTTGGACCTCGTGATGGTGAGTTTTCTGGTGTCGATTTTGTATGGTAATGTTTTCGTGTCTCTGATTTGTGAGACGCAAAATTTTTCCTATTTCCATCTCTACTATTTGAACGCGATTTTTCTCTTGAGTAGTCTTGTTCTAAATAATAAAGAGTTGAATGGCTCTTTTGACTTTCTTTACCTGATCGTGACTTATGAATAGTTTTATTATTACTGTTTACCCTATCATCAACATCGTTTATTTCAACTTCAGATACGGGAATGAATTGTGAAGATTTTACGCTCATTATAATGTTTTACTTTCCAATAAAAAATAAGGGTTTAATGCAACACAAAATAAAACATAAATATTAATATACAATCTTTTAAAAGGTAAAGCCCCATTTTTATTTTTTCAATAATAGATGATGATATAATTGAGTAAAAATATTCACATCAATTTTGAAAGTTTGTTTTATTGTATTTTTAAATTTTGAAGATTCTTTTACAATTTTAATATATATTTCTCACAAATATTTATTGGTTACAATTCAAAAGGTCGAAATAAACCATGCGATCATATATTAATTATTTCGTTAGGCGCTGAAAACATTTAAGATTCGCATTTTAAAATCATAAGTATTTATACAAGATGTTAACAACTAAATATTAAATTTTAAAAAATAATACTGAATAAAATACTATTTTAATAATATTTTTATTGTATTTTTAGACAATTTTTGTATGAAGAGAGGATTTCAAAATGATTCTATTATCATATTTTTGAAATATTAATAATTATCTTCTATTATATAATGATAGATTTATAATTTCTCCTTTTTCTCGCAACTTGTTGGTATTATCTTGATGCCTTCTTCTGTTATTAGATGACATAACAATAGGACTTTCTACCACATTTAAATCTGCATTTGTTTCTGTTAAATTTGATTCCAGTTTATTTAGGCCTCTGCAGCACAGCTTTTGTCCTTAATACTAAAGCCTTTGGGTCTGGAGCTTGAATAAGGATATCGTTCATTGAATTATCTGCACCTTCACAAAGACTTGAAATAATTCTACCATTATTTTCTGGAATTTTTCAGGGACAGTTTTGATTCTGAAAGAAACTGGTAAGGACATGTGTCAACCTGGAGGATTGCTGAAAGTGAAAAAAAAATGCTGTGAGTTTGGGCAGGTTTGATCTGTCAGTTCCCATTTTTCATACATAACTTTAAGAAAACTTCAATCAATGTGTGATTATATTATAATTATCAAAAGTCCTTGAATGGAAGTTTTTTTGTTAATAACTTGGTTGATTTTTGGTGGGAAAATGCATTTATATGTATTCTTCATTTCTTTTCCATGATAGACAGAGGTATAGGTTTAGATGGTCTTATATGTTCATATCTAAATTCTATAATTTTTCTTTAAATTTGCACCATTGTAGGCATTCTGTCCCTTCAAATACTTCTTAGTATTTCAATGTTGCTTTGCAGGCGTTTATTGTTTGATTCAAATTAAACTAGTATAGGTCTGTGTGTGTCTAGAATGGAGATAAAATTGGGCTATGATGAAGCATATTTCCGCTTTTTTTTGCTCTGCACTTTTCAAGACTTTGGCCTTTAACTGACATTCTATATGTCCTGAAAATTAAATTAGACTTTTCATGGGATTCTCTTTTAGTTTTAGATTTAGTTTCCTTTCAATGCTGTGTGTAGCAACACTTCAAACTCTGAGTATGTTAAGACAACTTCATGACCTTTATATAAAAGTATGGAACGAATCAACCAAAACCCCTCTTAACCATGTCCCAACCTTCCCTCTGAAAGCTATAATGACTTTGAGGCTCAGATAAAGCCTCTAGCTTTCAGCATTGACAGCATCAAAAAAAAAGTTTGAAATAGACTCAACAGCCCCTTCCTCATGGTCGAGCCACTTGACCTTTGGGGGCTGACTTGATGCCACCAGAACCACCCAGAATCTAGCATAGACTCTATCTAAAAGTCTCATCCTTATGGGCAGGCTACAGACCCATGATGGACGATTATGGTGGCACATCTTCAGCAGAACTTAAGCTCCACCACGAGCCCTGGACCTTCCACGATGTTCATTTTTATTTGTTTTCATAATAAAAATTTTAAAATATGTATATACTAGCCGAATGACCCTGGCAACGCCCCGACTGTAGATGTTACAACGGTGATCCTTAGGTCGCTGGTTCAAATCCGGCTTGAGGGAGCATCCGCGACAGAGGCGGCCGATGACGGTCGTGACTATATATATATACATTTTGTGTAGAAATAGGATTAGTTGACTTTATAAGGTAAACTTATTCATACAGTTTATATCCCTCGATAGCTCAGTTGGCAGAGAACTGTAGATGTTACAACGGTGATCATAGGTCGCTGGTTCAAATCCGGCTCGAGGGAGTTTTTTTTATTGGCTGCCGGCGAGCACGTGACCTCCCTGTGCGCGCGCATCCGTGACAGAGGCGGCCGATGACGGTCGTGACTATATATAGGGATATTAATTGGTGATTTTAAAAAATATTTTATTTTGATTTTTTATTACAGAATAGAGATTTGAGGCAAAAATTCGGCAGCATTGGGGCAAGTAGGGGGATATTTGGATTAGATAAAAAGAAGGAGGAGCTTTCGAATCTTTATACAGTTACTATTTTACCTTTATCCTATATGCTATATATAATATTAAATATAGTTACAGTCTTTATATAGAGCCAATCAATATAGACGCTGTGCTACACTAATTATATATTTATTATGCCTCTATTTTTACATTCAATTCGCCAGATATCTACTTATATAATTGCATTATTCTGTCTGTGTGAATTTTACTGTGTGAAGTTCACGGATAGATTTTGGTCATCAACGCGCGCATCATCATTATGATCATTATCATTATCTAATGATAATTATTTATTTATTATATTATATTATATATAAATATAATTGCCTTATTCACTGTGTGAAGTTCACGGATAGATTTTGGTCAGAATGGATAAAATAAAAAAAGTGTCAAGGGATGGGAATCGAACCCACGACCTTCCGCTTACCGGGCAGATGTCATGACCACTAGGCTACCCTGGACATATTTTTCCGTTCATAAAGTTAATATATGAATATTATTTTAATTAAAACATTTTTAAAACACACAGTTTGGAACGGGACGTTTCACAAGAGTGACATCCATGGCGCCAATTTATAATTGTACTGAATAGTATTTGAATTAAAACGTTTTTAAAATATATACGCACTCGGGTAAAACCCGGGCGTTGCCCGGGCCATTCGTCTAGTTTCTATATACACAAATTATGACTATATACATAATGTTACCACTGATGAGCCAGACCCTCTCTTTAATTTTTCCATTGCAGTAAGGGCAGTAGAAATTGTTTATTCTAAAAAAGAACCATACGCGTCTATAATAGTTTCCAATTTTGATAATGTTCCCCTTTTAATTAAAGTCCAGGTCATATATTTGGTGGCTTCACCGCACGTCCACTTCTAGTGATGTATGCACTGCTTCTCTCATTGGAGGCTCCTATGGAAATGGAAGCGGGTTAGGCCTGACCTTTTAGGACTGAGGTTCAGGCGGCGAAAATCTCTTGGTTCCTTTTGACCACTGGATTCCGATGATGTGATGTAGAGGGAGGCGGATTCAATTGGTCAATGACTTGCTACTTCTTTTTTGTCCAACTGGATAACTTCTGGGCCGAAAGTGAACTCTGTTCAGTTTTAACATTTGGCCCTTGTTGTTCTGAAGGATGTATGATCGAGGCTGATTGGATTTTTTAATGATGGTAGCTGGTCTCCAGTTATTGCTAGTGTTGGCATTTACTTGATCACCAAAACTCATTTTAGGAAGTATTTTGGCATTTCGGTCGTAATATTTTTTCATCTTATATTGATTTTCCCTCTTTTGTTGTAAAATATTTTCTGGGCTAATGAAAATTGGGATCAAGATTTTCAATTTTCTTCCCATTAGCGTCTGAGCAGGGGAAGGTAGATTATCAGATTATCGATGGAGTTGTTCTTAGTGCTATTAAACACATAAAAGGATTAATGTTATCCTGGCGGAATTTCCTTTGGGTAACCTGGAAGTTTGATATTCAGTATTTTTTTTAGTCAGTATAAAACTATTGTAAAAAATGCATGACTTCTATGTAGTCTTTAATTATATTAAAAATTGATTAAAAAAATTGAAAGGAAGTATGGAAATTAGTTCATTCCCGACCGCATTTTTATAAAATACTAGCTGAATGACCCAGGCAATGCCCGGGTTTTCCCCGATCAAATATTTTTATTCAAATACTATTCGTTTCAAATATAAATTGGCGCCTTGGATGTCACTCTTGTGAAACGTCCCGCAACAAGTCGGTGGATGAGAGGGTAACACGCTCGATTCCCGACACTCATGAACCGTGATTGAATCCCGCGTTAAAATTTGTTTAATATGTGAATAGCCTTCACATATTATTCATTGTTCAATTATCATGAACTAGGTTGCTCTTGCTGAGCGGTACCTATTAATGTGATTTGAACCAGTTAAACGTCCCGCTCCAATTTTGTGTTTGAGAAGCGATATTTTTTATAGAGAGATGATCTGGCTTTGTGTCTTCTGCTCGAATGAATGTTTTTCTGTTAGAATTTTGTTCCTGCATACTAAACTCTACAAAAAAATATATATATAACAATTCAAAAATCTATCTTCTTTCACCGAGAGAGAAAATAAAGGGAAAAACTTCTCTTTCTCTAATTAGCTCAATTATAATATTTGGAAAATTATTATCATGGTTCTGTCTTTGCTCGTGGTCTCTGCTTTTTGGAATTTTTCCCGATATAATATTGCATTAATATATAGCGTTATCAGAGTCATGCACAATTCTGTCACGTTAAGTCACGTGTCAAGTTACGGTGAGTAAAAATTAAAAAATTAAAAAAAGATGCCGAAACCCGGGATCAAACCAGGGACCTTTAGATCTTCAGTCTAACGCTCTCCCAACTGAGCTATTTCGGCTTATTTTAGTTATTTCTATAGAAGCTTCTATCTTTATAATTATGTATATTTTCAAAAAGTCAATTCACACCTCTTCGCTGGAGACCATGGGAATACTGACTAATTCATTATGCTAACACTAGACGAATGGCCCGGGCAACGCCCGGGGTTTACCCGAGTGCGAATATATTTTAAAACCGTTGTCTTGGGTGGTCTCGCTATTGACAGGGTGGTCTGTATAGACAGGTGGATGTATCACACAGCTGATAACAGGGTTGTCTAGAGTGGTCGCTATAGACAGGGTGGTCTGTATAGACAGGTGGATGTATCACACTGCTGATAACAGGGTTGCCTAAGGTGACCGCTATAGACAGGGTGGTCTGTAAAGACGGGTGAATGTAACACACTGATGATAACAGGGTTGCCTAAGGTGACCGCTATAGACAGGGTGGTCTGTATAGACAGGCAGCTGATAACAGGGTTGTCTAGAGTGGTCGCTATAGTCAGGGTGGTCTGTATAGACAGGTGTATGAATCACACTGCTGTTAACAGGGTTGCCTAGAGTGACCGCTATAGACAGGGTGGTCTGTATAGACAGGTGAATGTAACACACTGATGATAACAGGGTTGTCTAGAGTGACCGCTATAGACAGGGTGGTCTGTACAGACAGGTGGATGTATCACACTGCTGATAACAGGGTTGCCTAAGGTGACCGCTATAGACAGGGTGGTCTGTATAGACAGGTGAATGTAACACACTGATGATAACAGGGTTGCCTAAGGTGACAGCTATAGACAGGGTGGTCTGTATAGACAGGCAGCTGATAACAGGGTTGTCTAGAGTGGTCGCTATAGTCAGGGTGGTCTGTATAGACAGGTGATGTATCACACTGCTGTTAACAGGGTTGCCTAGAGTGACCGCTATAGACAGGGTGGTCTGTATAGACAGGTGAATGTAGCACACTGCTGATAACAGGGTTGTCTAGAGTGGCCGCTATAGACAGAGTGGTCTGTTTAGACAGGTGGATGTAGCACACTGCTGATAACAGGGTTGTCTAGAGTGGCCGCTATAGACAGGTGTATGTATCGCACAGCTGATAACAGGGTTGTCTAGAGGGGGGCAGGGAGGCCACGTGTTCGCTGGCAGCCAATGGGCGCGCATTCTATCCGTGAGCTTCAGACATACAGACAAACAGACAGAATAAGGCAAATATATAAGTAGATAATTAAAAATACAAGTATCAGAGTCATCAATCAATTCTGTCATCGTTTGCTTTTGTGAATGGAATAAATACCCAAATATGGCCATTTCTTATAAGCATCGGTGGTTCAGTGGTAGAATGCTCGCCTGCCACGCGGGCGGCCCGGGTTCGATTCCCGGCCGATGCATTTTTTTTTTGCAATTTTTGAACTCATTTATATTATTATTATTATTATATTATTATTATATATATTAAAATATACAGTTATCAGCGTCATAATCAATTCTTTCTTAATCAATTCTGTCACCGTTTGCTTTTGTGAATGGAAAGTATACCCAAATATGGCCATTTCTCATAACCATCGGTGGTTCAGTGGTAGAATGCTCGCCTGCCACGCGGGCGGCCCGGGTTCGATTCCCGGCCGATGCATTTTTTTCTACAATTTTTAAAACTCATTTATATATTATACAAGAATGATATCCACGGCGCCAATTTATAATTGTAACCAATAGTATTTGAATAAAAGCATTTATTCGGGTAAAACCCGGGCGTTGCCCGGGCCATTCGGCTAGTTATATATACAAGTATCAGAGTCATCAACAATCAATTCTGTCATCGTTTGCTTTTGCGAATAAAATAAATACCCAAATATGGCCATTTCTTATAAGCATCGGTGGTTCAGTGGTAGAATGCTCGCCTGCCACGCGGGCGGCCCGGGTTCGATTCTCGGTAGGGCCTCCAATCCCGGGATCCCGGAGCCAAATAATGATCCCGAAATCCCGGGATTCTGCTCGAAAAATCCCGGGATTACTGGTTTGTGCATGAAAACCAGAGCAAAAATATATATTTCTTATCATTTTGGTAATCAAACAGATGATGAGATAGTACACTTTTGACGTTTTGTTTATACAGCTGCATTTCGGGTCTTTTTTTTTCTGAGAGATTTGAAATTATTTTCATGCACTCTAATAACGAAGGGTTATTCTGCAAGATCTTTCCAAAATGGCAGCCTCTAGAATGAGAGTATGCAGCAGTATACATGGAGGGGGCTTCAGTTTTTGTTCTGACCTTTCCGAGGATGACAATGAGGACACTTCTCCATTTAACGTTAGCCTAGAGGTAGCACATCCCTCATTCCCTGAAGCAATTTATCCACAATCTCCAGTATTTTCAAAGAAAAATATAAATGAAGTGACGAAAAAAGCTCATGTGGTTGTGAAATTTTTCACCAGTATGTGTCTCATTCTCGACTGCAGAACGCGCTGGGATAGTTTATTGAACATGTTGGAGAGACTTCTCAGTGTGAAGTCAGCGATTAAGAAGGCGCTAATAGATGTGAATGCAAATGTCCGTCTAACTGATGAAGATTTTGATATCATGACGCAAGTAATTTCCGCACTGAAACCATTTCGGGCAGCTGTGGCGGCTATCTGTAGACGTGACGCTACGCTTTTGACTGCAGAAGCAACAGTAAAGTTTCTTCTAGAGGAGCTGCAAGCACAATCTCATTCTCTCAGCAAAGATCTGCAAAAATCTTTTCAAAAGAGAATTTTAGAAGAGCGATGCAATTAAACATCTTTAGTCCTCCTATATCTGCACAATCCGCAAGCACAGTTAGAAAAAAAGAAGATGGTCAAAGACTTTAGCGTGAAATTGCTTTTGCGTCTTAAACCGTTACAGGAACAAATGGCCGAAGTAAGAAAAAATTCAGGCTGATAATTCACAACTTCCTCGGAGTTTACAAGAACGCCATGAGCCATCACAATCGAATGACCATTTCACAATTGAGCACCGATTGCAAGAAGCTATTGAGACTGCCTCTTCAACTTCAATTACAATACCTACACCAGACTCCGCATATTACTCAACTATGATTAACCACGAACTTAATATTGCTGCTCAGTCAGGCAAACGAGGACCGTATTTAGAGAGTGTGTATCAATACTTGCTGACAATTCCTCCAACGTCTGTGGAATCGGAAAGAGTCTTCTCCTCCTCTGGATACCTATGCAATAAGATACGTTCTAGTTTGCATGATGACACTAAAATGACATTAATACATAGTTGGGCAAAATGCAATAATGATTACATTTTCTATAATCACAATTGCAAATAATCATGATTACATTTGCTATAATTACAATTACAAGTAATTTTAACCACAATTGCTATCATTATATATAGAATTACGAGTAATTATGTTTACATTCTAATGCAATTAATTTTTTTGCAAAGTAATGCATTTAATAGGTAATCCCATAATATTATGTTCGAATAAATAAGCTTGAGGGATGAGTCTCTTTTAATTACATTTATTTCAAGCTTTCGGGCTCAACCGCCCTTCGACAGGACAATTTATATTAGCTACTAAAGTTTTCAATCTAATCTATATAAACACTTGAGAGACGCCTGTGTCTCGAGTGCAATACGAGGCTTGCCGCGGGAGGGGATGAGATCTTTGAAAAAGATGGCCGTTTAGCCCATTGAATTATCGGAAATAAAAGATTATTTGTTGAATCGCAGAGTTCATGATACCGAGGGGGGTCTGGTGGCTGCAGGGAATATTACATTGTATATTTCAGGTAAATCAATTTTTCTATTGAGGCTATGGAATTTGCTTGATAGGATAGATTCTATGATTAGTCTTTGGTGTTTGTTGGCAATATTAGAATAGTGAATTTTCGGTGATATAATGTTGAAGGAATGGCCAGTTTCATTTATGTGCTGTACTATTAAGGATCTATGGTCTAAGTTATCAATATTTCTTTTGTGTTCGTGAATTCTGATATTGACATGTCTCCCGGTTTCGCCTACGTAGACTTTTGGGCAGTTCATACATTCTATGGAGTAAATAGCGTTTCGTGGTGTGCTGTTAGGTTCATTGAGTTTCATGATCTGGTTTCGGAGAAGGGATCCAGAGGTAGGTGCGCAGGTGAAGTAGGTTTTGATTCCAAATTTCAATAAGAATCTCGCTATTGTGGAGGATAATGGTGAATATGGCATATTGCAAATAGATCTGTATATTGGAGACTGTGTCTTTTTAGTTGGGTCATAAAAGTGTCGCAATATAAAGGATATCGGGTATGCGCAGTCCCTGAGGTTAGCTAATATGTTCTGTGTTTCGAGGTTCTTGTACATCTGGAGGGAGCAGTGGGTATGGACTCGTTTTGATAGAGCAATGACTGTGTTGATTTTGTGACTGATAGGACAGAAGGACGAGTATTGAACATAATTAGGACGGAAGGATGGTTTATAATAAACGGTGGTGTGCAATTCATGTTGGTGCCGGATGATTTTAACGTCGAGAAATGGAAGGGTATTATTGGTTTCTTTATCAACGGTGAAGTGAAGATCAGGGTGATAATTGTTCAGATTGTAGAGGATGTCATCGGTTTTGGTGGTGGTGCAAATGCAAAAGATGTCATCAATGTATCTGCGCCAAAAGAATATATCATGGGGGAAATTGGCGGTAATCCTTCGGTCTATTGCGCGCATAGAGATCTCAGCAATTGTGGTCGATAGAGGGCTTCCCATTGGGGACCCTTTTGCTTGCCTGAATGATTCGGAGTTATATGTGAATATGCAGTTATCTAGACATATGGAAATTAGTTATATAATGGAAATAGGTCTCCCAAAAACACACAAACCTGAAACTCCCTTGCATCCTATAGTAGCCTTTTTCTCTTCTCCAACAGCCCCTCTTTCCAGATTTATAGCCAACTTCCTGAAACCGTTCCTCCAATTACAGAATGACCCATTCCCCATATCCAACACCCATACCTTTATAGGAGAAGTACTAAAGATCAAACCTGAATCTGACCGCATCATGGTGTCTTTTGACGTGCAAGCCTTATAACCCAGCCTTCCACATCCTCTGATCATAAGTGATACAATAGAACTTCTGCAGGAACAGCATATTGATACAGATATCATCCAAAAAATCACACAACTAATTTCCATATGTCTAGATAACTGCATATTCACATATAACTCCGAATCATTCAGGCAAGCAAAAGGGTCCCCAATGGGAAGCCCTCTATCGACCACAATTGCTGAGATCTCTATGCGCGCAATAGACCGAAGGATTACCGCCAATTTCCCCCATGATATATTCTTTTGGCGCAAGTACATTGATGACATCTTTTGCATTTGCACCACCACCAAAACCGATGACATCCTCTACAATCTAAACAATTATCACCCTGATCTTCACTTCACCGTTGAAAAAGAAACCAATAATACCCTTCCATTTCTCGACGTTAAAATCATCCGGCACCAACATGAATTGCACACCACCGTTTATTATAAACCATCCTTCCGTCCTAATTATGTTCAATACTCGTCCTTCTGTCCTATCAGTCACAAAATCAACACAGTCATTGCTCTATCAAAACGAGTCCATACCCACTGCTCCCTCCAGATGTACAAGAACCTCGAAACACAGAACATATTAGCTAACCTCAGGGACTGCGCATACCCGATATCCTTTATATTGCGACACTTTTATGACCCAACTAAAAAGACACAGTCTCCAATATACAGATCTATTCGCAATATGCCATATTCACCATTATCCTCCACAATAGCGAGATTCTTATTGAAATTTGGAATCAAAACCTACTTCACCTGCGCACCTACCTCTGGATCCCTTCTCCGAAACCAGATCATGAAACTCAATGAACCTAACAGCACACCACGAAACGCTATTTACTCCATAGAATGTATGAACTGCCCAAAAGTCTACGTAGGCGAAACCGGGAGACATGTCAATATCAGAATTCATGAACACAAAAGAAATATTGATAACTTAGACCATAGATCCTTAATAGTACAGCACATAAATGAAACTGGCCATTCCTTCAACATTACATCACCGAAAATTCACTATTCTAATATTGCCAACAAACACCAAAGTCTAATCATAGAATCTATCCTATCAAGCAAATTCCATAGCCTCAATAGAAAAATTGATTTACCTGAAATATACAATGTAATATTCCCTGCAGCCACCAAACCCCCCTCGGTATCATGAACTCTGCGATTCAACAAATAATCTTTTATTTCCGATAATTCAATGGGCTAAACGGCCATCTTTTTCAAAGATCTCATCCCCTCCCGCGGCAAGCCTCGTATTACACTCGAGACACAGGCGTCTCTCAAATGTTTATATAGATTAGATTTGAAAACTTTAGTAGCTAATATAATTTGTCCTGTCGAAGGGCGGTTGAGCCCGAAAACTTGAAATAAATGTAATTAAAAGAGACTCATCCCTCAAGCTTATTTATTCGAACAAAGTAATGCATTGCAAAGTAATCGTAATTACAAGGTAATGTATTACTTTGAATGGATTACTGCCCAACACTGCATTAAGAGATGTGGTCTAAGCGTTCCAAGAACAGTATTTTTTTTCCAGATGTGTGTACAGTAATTGACAGATAATTTCAAACTGTAACCCAAAAGCAATGATTTAGTTCATAAGCAGGCGCAAAATATATGGCTTTCAGGTTGTTTTCATCGAAGTAAGTGCCACGTCATTGGCACTATATAAAAGAAAAAAATTAAAAATATAACGAACGAAACGATATACCTCTTGGCGTAGAAAGACGAAAATGTTTTTCAATCCCGGGATCCCGGGATTGAGAAAAAAAGCAATCCCGAATCCCGGGATTGAAAATATGTACCGGGATTGGAAGCCCTAATTCCCGGCCGATGCATTTTTTTTTTACAATTTTTAAAGCTCATTTATATTATCCCCATACTAGACGAATGGCCCGGGCAACGCCCGGGTTTTACCCGAGTGCGTATATATTTTAAAAATGTTTTAATTAAAATACTATTCGTTACAATTATAAATTGGCGCCGTGGATGTCTCTCTTGTGAAACGTCCCGCCCCAAACTGTGTGTGTCTTGAAAATATAAAAATAAAAATGTGAACGGAAAAATATGTCCAGGGTAGCCTAGTGGTCATGGCATCTGCCCGGTAAGCGGAAGGTCGTGGGTTCGATTCCCATCCCTTGACACTTTTTTATTTTATCCATTCTGACCAAAATCTATCCGTGAACTTCACACAGTGAACTTCACACAGAGAGAATAAGGCAATTATATAAGTAGATAATCCAAATTGTGCCTTATCACACACTATTTTTTTATTTGGCCTTATTACCTTGTGTTTATAATCTATGACGTGATGCCGGCGGCGCGCGCCCGTTGGCTGCCGGCGAGCACGTGACCTCCCTGTGCGCGCGCATCCGTGACAGAGCCGGCCGGCCCATGATGGTCGTGACTATATATGTTGATGGATGGATAATAATAATAATATAATAATAATGATAATGATCATGATGATGATGCGCGCGCACCCGTGACTCTTCACTCTTCATTGTTGGCTTTTTATATCATATACGAATGACCCGGGCAACGCCCGGGTTTTACCCGATTAAATGATTTTATTCAAATACTATTCGTTACAATTATAAATTGGAGCCGTGGATGTCATTCTTGTATATTCGTGAATATATATGTTGATAATATAAAAGAGTTTTAAAAATTGTAAAAAAAAATGCATCGGCCGGGAATCGAACCCTGGCCGCCCGCGTGGCAGGCGAGCATTCTACCACTGAACCACCGATGCTTTAAAAAATGGCCATATTTAGGTATTCATTCCATTCCGGATTAGTCCGGGTAAAAAAAGTTCTTCAAATGAAAAAAAGAAATAGCCAAAAATACTAATCAAAATGCAGCCGAAAATTTTCCTCAGGTTTATAAAAAGCGACATGCAAAATTTGGTACCAATTGGTTCAGTAGTTTTTGAGTTTATCGCGAAACAGACAGACAGACAGAAATTGACTTTTATATATATATAGAGATATAGAGATTTACTCTTCATTGTTGGCTTTTTATCTTACATTCATTCTTCATTGTTGGCTTTTTATATTACATTCACTCTTCATTGTTGGCTTTTTATCTTACATTCACTCTGTTGGCTTTTTATATTACATTTACTCTTCATTGTTGGCTTTTTATCTTACATTCACTCTTCATTGTTGGCTTTTTATATTATATTTACTATTCATTGTTGGCTTTTTATCTTACATTCATTCTTCATTGTTGGCTTTTTATATTACATTAACTCTTCATTGTTGGCTTTTTATCTTAATTCACTCTTCATTGTTGGCTTTTTATCTTACATTCACTCTTCATTGTTGGCTTTTTATATTATATTTACTATTCATGGTTGGCTTTTTATCTTACATTCATTCTTCATTGTTGGCTTTTTATATTACATTAACTCTTCATTGTTGGCTTTTTATATTACATTCACTCTTCATTGTTGGCTTTTTATCTTACATTCATTCTTCATTGTTGGCTTTTTATATTACATTCACTCTTCATTGTTGGCTTTTTATATTATATTTACTCTTCATTGTTAGCTTTTTATCTTACATTCATTCTTCATTGTTGGCTTTTTATATTACATTTACTATTCATTGTTGGCTTTTTATCTTACATTCACTCTTCATTGTTGGTTTTTGATCTTATATTCATTCTTCATTGTTGGCTTTTTATATTACATTCACTCTTCATTGTTGGCTTTTTATCTTACATTCATTCTTCATTGTTGGCTTTTTATATTACATTCACTCTTCATTGTTGGCTTTTTATATCATATACGAATGACCCGGGCAACGCCCGGGTTTTACCCGAATAAATGCTTTTATTCAAATACTATTCGTTACAATTATAAATTGGAGCCATGGATGTCATTCTTGTATAATATATAAATGAGTTTTAAAAATTGTAAAAAAAAAAAAAAATGCATCGGCCGGGAATCGAACCTGGGTCGCCCGCGTGGCAGGCGAGCATTCTACCACTGAACCACCGATGGTTATGAAAAATCCCATCCGTGAGCTTCAGACAAACAGACAAACAGACAGAATGAGGCAAATATATAAGTAGACTAGACGAATGGCCCGGGCAACGCCCGGGTTTTACCCGAGTGCGTATATATTTTAAAAATGTTTTAATTAAAATACTATTCGTTACAATTATAAATTGGCGCCGTGGATGTCTCTCTTGTGAAACGTCCCGCCCCAAACTGTGTGTGTCTTGAAAATATAAAAATAAAAATGTGAACGGAAAAATATGTCCAGGGTAGCCTAGTGGTCATGGCATCTGCCCGGTAAAGCGGAAGGTCGTGGGTTCGATTCCCATCCCTTGACACTTTTTTTATTTTATCCATTCTGACCAAAATCTATCCGTGAACTTCACACAGTGAACTTCACACAGAGAGAATAAGGCAATTATATAAGTAGATAATCCAAATTGTGCCTTATCACACACTATTTTTTTATTTGGCCTTATTACCTTGTGTTTATAATCTATGACCTAATGCCGGCGGCGCGCGCCCGTTGGCTGCCGGTGAGCACGTGACCTCCCTGTGCGCGCGCATCCGTGACAGAGCCGGCCGGCCCATGACGGTCGTGACTATATATGTTGATGGATGGATAATAATGATAATATAATAATAATGATAATGATCATAATGATGATGCGCGCGCACCCGTGACAGAACCGGCCGGCCGGCCCATGACGGTCGTGACTATATATGTTGATAATAATAATAATAATATAATAATAATAATAATAATTATTAATATTATTATTATCATTAGATAATGATCATGATCATAATGATAATGCGCGCGCACCCGTGACAGAACCCATGACGGTCGTGACTATATATGTTGATAATATAAATGAGTTTTAAAAATTGTAAAAAAAAAATGCATCGGCCGGGAATCGAACCCGGGCCGCCCGCGTGGCAGGCGAGCATTCTACCACTGAACCACCGATGCTTTAAAAAATGGCCATATTTAGGTATTCATTCCATTCCGGATTAGTCCGGGTAAAAAAAAAGTTCTTCAAATGAAAAAAAGAAATAGCCAAAAATACTAATCAAAATGCAGCCGAAAATTTTCCTCAGGTTTATAAAAAGCGACATGCAAAATTTGGTACCAATTGGTTCAGTAGTTTTTGAGTTTATCGCGAAACAGACAGACAGACAGATATTGACTTTTATATATATATAGAGATAGAGATATAGAGATTTACTCTTCATTGTTGGCTTTTTATCTTACATTCATTCTTCATTGTTGGCTTTTTATATTACATTCACTCTTCATTGTTGGCTTTTTATCTTACATTCACTCTGTTGGCTTTTTATATTACATTTACTCTTCATAGTTGGCTTTTTATCTTACATTCACTCTTCATTGTTGGCTTTTTATATTATATTTACTATTCATTGTTGGCTTTTTATCTTACATTCATTCTTCATTGTTGGCTTTTTATATTACATTAACTCTTCATTGTTGGCTTTTTATCTTACATTCACTCTTTATTGTTGGCTTTTTATCTTACATTCATTCTTCATTTTTGGCTTTTTATATTACATTCACTCTCCATTGTTGGCTTTTTATCTTACATTCATTCTTCATTGTTGGCTTTTTATATTACATTCACTCTTCATTGTTGGCTTTTTATCTTACATTCACTCTGTTGGCTTTTTATATTACATTTACTCTTCATTGTTGGCTTTTTATCTTACATTCACTCTTCATTGTTGGCTTTTTATATTATATTTACTCTTCTTTGTTGGCTTTTTATCTACATTCATTCTTCATTGTTGGCTTTTATATTACATTAACTCTTCATTGTTGGCTTTTTATCTTACATTCACTCTTTATTGTTGGCTTTTTATCTTACATTCATTCTTCATTGTTGGCTTTTTATATTACATTCACTCTTCATTGTTGGCTTTTTATCTTACATTCATTCTTCATTGTTGGCTTTTTATATTACATTCACTCTTCATTGTTGGCTTTTTATCTTACATTCACTCTGTTGGCTTTTTATATTACATTTACTCTTCATTGTTGGCTTTTTATCTTACATTCACTCTTCATTGTTGGCTTTTTATATTATATTTACTCTTCTTTGTTGGCTTTTTATCTTACATTCATTCTTCATTGTTGCCTTTTTATATTACATTTACTCTTCATTGTCGGCTTTTTATCTTACATTCACTTTTCATTGTTGGCTTTTTATCTTACATTCATTCTTCATTGTTGGCTTTTTATATTATTCACCCTTCATTGTTGGCTTTTTATCTTACATTCATTCTTCATTGTTGGCTTTTTATATTACATTCACTCTTCATTGTTGGCTTTTTATCTTACATTCACTCTGTTGGCTTTTTATATTACATTTACTCTTCATTGTTGGCTTTTTATCTTACATTCACTCTTCATTGTTGGCTTTTTATATTATATTTACTCTTCATTGTTGGCTTTTTATCTTACATTCATTCTTCATTGTTGGCTTTTTATATTATATTTACTCTTCATTGTTGGCTTTTTATCTTACATTCATTCTTCATTGTTGGCTTTTTATCTTACATTCATTCTTCATTGTTGGCTTTTTATATTATATTTACTCTTCATTGTTGGCTTTTTATCTTACATTCATTCTTCATTGTTGGCTTTTTATATTACATTCACTCTTCATTGTTGGCTTTTTATCTTACACTCATTCTTCATTGTTGGCTTTTTATATTACATTCACTCTTCATTGTTGGCTTTTTATATCATATACGAATGACCCGGGCAACGCCCGGGTTTTACCCGATTAAATGCTTTTATTCAAATACTATTCGTTACAATTATAAATTGGCGCCGTGGATGTCATTCTTGTATATTATATAAATTAGTTTTAAAAATTGTAAAAAAAAAAAAAAATGCATCGGCCGGGAATCGAACCCGGGCCGCCCGCGTGGCAGGCGAGCATTCTACCAGTGAACCACCGATGGTTATGAAAAATCCCATCCGTGAGCTTCAGACAGACAAACAGACAGAATAAGGCAAATATATAAGTAGATATAGTCACGACCGTCTTTCCTCATCGGCCTCTGTCACGGATGCGCGCGCACATCACGTGCTCGCCGGCAGCCAATAAAAATAAAAATAACTCCCCTCGAGCCGGATTTGAACCAGCGACCTAAGGATCACCGTTGTAACATCTACAGTCCTCCGCTCTGCCAACTGAGCTATCGAGGGATACAAACTGTATGAATAAGTTTACCTTATAAAGTCAACTAATCATATTTCTACACAAATGTACTCATACATATATTATATTATATTATATCATATATCATCCCTATATATAGTCACGACCGTCATGGGCCGGTTCTGTCACGGATGCGCGCGCATCATCATTATGATCATTATCATTATCTAATGATAATAATAATAATAATAATTATTATTATTATATTATTATTATTATATAGTCACAACCATCTTTCCTCAATTCCTCATCGGCCGCTGGCGCGCACAGGGAGGTCACGTGCTCGCCGGCAGCCAACGGGCGCGCGCCGCCGGCATTACGTCATAGATTATAAACACAAGGTAATAAGGCCAAATAAAAAAATAGTGTGTGATAAGGCACAATTTGGATTATCTACTTATATAATTGCCTTATTCTGTCTGTGTGAAGTTCACTGTGTGAAGTTCACGGATAGATTTTGGTCAGAATGGATAAAATAAAAAAAGTGTCAAGGGATGGGAATCGAACCCACGACCTTCCGCTTACCGGGCAGATGCCATGACCACTAGGCTACCCTGGACATATTTTTCCGTTCACATTTTCATTTTTATATTTTCAAGACACACACAGTTTGGGGCGGGACGTTTCACAAGAGAGACATCCACGGCGCCAATTTATAATTGTAACGAATAGTATTTTAATTAAAACATTTTTAAAATATATACGCACTCGGGTAAAACCCGGGCGTTGCCCGGGCCATTCGTCTAGTATATATATCGTCCCTACAACTGCAAACTATCGAATGCGAAAAATTCAATTTTGAAGGAGAGAGAAATGAAGAGACCATGTGGCCTACCCTCAGTAGAGGAAGGCATTGAAGGAGGGAGAAATGAAGAGACCATGACATGGTCTCTTCATTTCTCCCTCCTTCAGTGCCTTCCTCTACTGAGGGTAGGCCACATGGTCTCTTCATTTCTCTCTCCTTCAAAATTGAATTTTTCGCATTCGATAGTTTGCAGTTGTAGGGACGATATAGTCACGACCGTCTTTCCTCATCGGCCTCTGTCACGGATGCGCGCGCACAGGGAGGTCACGTGCTCGCCGGCTCCCTCGAGCCGGATTTGAACCAGCGACCTAAGGATCACCGTTGTAACATCTACAGTCGGGTAAAACACGGGCGTTGCCCGGGTCATTCGGCTAGTTCCTATATATATAAAAGCCAGTGTATGTATGTATGTATGTTTGTCGGCTAAACACGTCCACAATACGTAACTAATCTGACTGAAATTTAACAGTATATAGAGTAGAATATGTTTAAACTTATAGTGAAAATTTCAGTTCTCTATCCCCCGAATTATCGTCGAGTTATTTGAAAATTTGCCCTTTCGCTCGCGAGCATCGTCTCTAGTGGTGAAGATGGGAGGTAATATCAGCTGACCTAATGTACATGTAAAGTTTGGAGCGGGACACAAGAGTGACATGCACGGCGCCAATTTATAATTGAAACAAATAGTGTTTGAATAAAAACATTCAATCGGGTAAAACACGGGCGTTTCCCGGGTCATTCGGCTAGTCTGATATAAACACAAGGTAATAAGACCAAATCCAAATAAATAAATAGTGTGTGACGTTTCGGAAACAGCGTTGTTTCCGAAACGGCACACACTATTTATTTATTTGGATTTGGTCTTATTACTTTGTGTTTATAATCTATAATCCAAATTGTGCCTTATAATTTGTATCTGATAGTAAAACATGATACAGCAATATTTTCATCATCATATTCTGACTAAAAAAACAACTATTTTTGCCCAGAACCTGTCAATTTCAAATTTTCTTGGCTAAAAATGCGACAAATATCTCTTCCAGATTTTTTTTCTATGTCCTGCTAAAACACATTCTACACATACATTAGGTCAGCTGATATTACCTCCTGTTAAGTCTTTATGTTGTTTCTAAGAATGACTACCAGTCATTAAAATCCTAGAGAAAGATCACTCTCAGCCTTTCTAATAATATTGAACTTTTATTTTCTTATTTGCAAATCTTAAAAGGGTTTATTTACATATGTACATTTCATAATGCTTCTTTGACTTTATCTTCTTTGATTCTTT